TGAAAGAGTGGTGAAACATTGGAACAGGCTGCCCAGGGAAGTGGTGGAGTCCCCATCCCTGGAGGTATTTAAAAGACGAGTAGATGAGGCACTTAGGGACATGGCTTAGTGGGCATGGGGGTGTTGGGTCGATGGTTGAATTCGATGATCTTAGAGGTCTCTTCCAACCTTAATGATTCTATAGTGAGACCCAACGTGTAACTCAGTATGATACACTGCTTAGTGTTTCTACCAGCTGTCCCATAGTTACTAGGTGGCAAGAAGCATAATTTTAGAAGAAAATTCTTGGAGGAGTAATGACCCATCTGATAAACAAGCCGAGTTCATGAGCTGATTCATTATTTGGGAAACAAGGCTGGCATCTGAATGCAGGACCTGATTTTTGAGTGAGATGAACTTCCACCGGCCCCAAGATGGAGAGTCGGTAGCAGTGCTTTGCAGCAGCGCACCACTGCTTTGGAGTGAGAACAGCAGGTACGGGACTTAAGGCAACAGATTTCAATCAAGGTTATTGAAGACGAAGCGCTGGAGGTTTAGAGTTTCTTAGGCGAATGGACTATCCTCTTTTCTGTAGTGCTCCACCCAAAACTAGGACCAAAACCTCCTAGAAATGAAAAGCTGAAGAAAAGAATGCCACCCTAATTTTGTTCAAAATGTAATTTTTGATTTTTCGGTAGTTTAAATTTAAGCTTGATTCAATCCAGAGCCAAGGGAGGCCTTGCTTATGTCACTGATGGCAAATTGCTGTGTGTGAACAGTACTACGTGCTCCAATAGCTGTTGCAAAATGACAAAAATGGAAGTCTGCCCTCTTCCTTAGCAGTCCGTCGCCGACAGGACAGATACGAAAAGCAACGAAGGAGAAAGGGTTCGAGTTTTGTATGTGGAAAACTTCAAATCCCAAGGGAAAACACAGGCCAGCAGCTGCACGACAGAGGTGCTGGGCCTCATCTGACATCTAGTGGTTACCGCTGCGAGAAAAGCCAGGGTGCCGTACCCGAGGAACAGCCAGCTCCACCACGGACACCCCGGATCCTACACTGCTTGGGTCCAAAATTCCTATTTAAGAGAAAGGCGCCAGCCCAAGGCACAGGACGGGCTTTAAAGTTCAGTAAAACATGGGGAATAAATACTTGCCTGCTACTTCATCACCACAAAGCTGCTCTGCTGGAACAAAAAATATTCAGAGCTCTGGTCAGTTGTTGCAATTTTCTTTATTCACTTGTTTATTAGTACAGCCAAGGCTTTTTAGGGCATTATCACTCAACACCCGAAGAGTGACACACCTCATGTATTACTAGTTTGGAAATGAGTGAGATTTTCATACACGGTCAACATCTTAAAAGTCTGCTACCTGTTAGGACTATATATAGAGATAGATATTTTTTTTTAATATAAAATTGATATTTGGAAGGTATAAATATTGGTGCAAGTATTTTGTCAGTCTAATTTCTCTCTACTGGATATAACTCAAAATGTCTGAGACCAAAAAGAGACTTCAGTGTTGAATGCTGACGTACCCATCAGCATTACTGCAAGCCCAGCAGCGGGACGGACACTAATGCATACCACCGCCCTAACTCCCAGCGTCACGTAAGGACTCCAGTCCTTCCAGTAAAACCACTGCATCAGTTTTCACTTCTTTTTTTTTTTTTTTTCAGCTCCTGCACGTGAAGTTGCAGGACGTCCACACTCTGCTGTTACATACTTGACAAGGCAGTAGCCTGGAATTACTTATTTTCACAGTTTTTTCGCTATGATGCCTCGTCCTCATTTTGAGTGAGCACTAATCACTCCATCAGCAATATATAGCCTTGCTGCGCAGGCAGCTGTGCAAAAAGTGCCTCCTAAAGACTGCTGTGAGTGAAGAAGGGATGGACCATCCTTCTGCTTTTTCAAAAGGGGAAGTCGAGAGCCAGCTGAAGACCAGGGGAAAGCTACATTAACTCATTTCCCCATTCTAAACATTTCTAGCAGCAATCGCGAAACTGGCCGTCACCCTGATAACAACCTATTTAT